GTGGGATACTTTTAATCTTCCTCTTTAAAAAAAAATTGTCTAGAATCTCTGTGTTGCATATCAACAAGCCACTTAGCCTAGGAGATATTTTAGTAGCAGGATATAATCTTGCATCAATATTCATTTGCTTCACCTGCCTATCATACATCCTATTCAGAGTCCTTACCCATTAACTTAATCCTTGCAGTTCAAAAATGGGCTTGGATGCTGTACATAGTTCCCATTTGAAGCAGCCTTATAACAAATTATTTGCACAGTACAAAATCAACATGGCACAGAGCAGTTCCCCATGCTGGCTGGGGAATTCTGGGAGTTGAAGTCCATATGACTGAAAGTTGCTAAGGTTGAGAAATACTGGCACAGAGGGAGTTTATTGTGTTGTCTTCCATTAAATGACATTTGTTGGAATTTTTCTAGCTCTGTAATGGCAAACCTATGGCATGTGTGCCACAGGTGGCACACAGATCCCCCTCTGTGGACACACGAGCCGTCGCCCCAGCTCGGCTCCACTGTGCATGCATACGCATCTCCCGCCAGGCAGCTGGTTTTCAGGTCTCTGCTGTGCATGCATGGGTGGTGGGGCGCATGCATGAGATGCCTGTGCATGCTCAGGGTGAACATGTGGGGATCACAACGCATGCACGGGGTGGGGATATGCACGTGTGGGGGTTGAATGTGCATGTGCATGGGGTTGTGTGTACATTGCATTATGGGCGCGCGAGAAACTGCACGCTTTTAGCACTCGGTGACGAAAAGGTTAACCATCACTGTTGTAGCTCATCTCAAATCCACCTGAGTTGGAAGGAGATGCATAATCCCCTTTTTTTCACATGAAAAACTATTTCAGTGATATCTAATGTCTAGAAAGAGAAATTAATGTGCTGCCTTCTCTGAAATGAAAGAAATGTGTAGCCTTGAAGCGCAACTCTCCAGCGGCAGAAGGAAAAGAAAGACGAGTCCATGATCCCACTAAGGAAGCTGATTCATATGTGGCACACAGGGATATCAGAGTAGGAATCCAACACTTTGAACCAAAGCAGAGATTTAGAGGTGGGTTTATGTTGCAGTTCATGGAAATGTATCTATCAGCTGCTGGTGTCAGTAGAAACATGGAAGAAACAGCAGCTGTTTCATGTCCCAGGGAGGGAAATGGAACAAAGGTAGCTTCAAAATAGATCTGAAAGTCAGTGTTTGTTTCCCATGAATCCCACTGAAAAATGAAGGGCCGTTTATTCCATCATTCTTTTGTTTAATTGAAATAGTTAAATCAAACTATGGACGTCCTCAGAAAAGTGGCACCAATCAAATTAGATCTTCTGTCAGAAAGCATATTGATTGTGTTTCTGCTCTACTTGTGTAACTTTAAAAAAAAATAACATTGTACTATGAAATTGGGAAGTCTAATCAGAGTTTTATTTTCATTCTCAAAAATTGCACTGAAAGGAACATCATTGAGCCTGCACCTAGTTATACAAGGTAAGCAATGGCGGTAAAACCATGTAAATCGGTCTGATTTTAAATGTACTCATCTAAGTCAAATAAATGGCTTCCAGAAATAAAACACAACCCTGTTAGGTTTCTTTTATCCCATATCTTGCTCCAGCCAGTTACATTCCTTCCTAAGAACTACAGAAGAGCCCGCAGTCTTGTGAAACCATTTTTGTTTGGGATGAAGCAAAGTTTAAGGAGTCTTAGAATAACAACATTGTAAAACCTTGAGTATGAAATGGTGAACCACTAAGGTTTAGCTACTTTGTGTATTTAACCAATCAACACTAAACCTAATGGTGAAATATTTAGATCTAAACAACTATCTCAACATTTCATTGCTAGGATTAGTGCTTACGGTTAAATACACAAAGTACAATTGCTAGCCTCCCAAAATAACTTCAACCATGTAAATCAAGCATCATAAAAAAAGGTAATAAGAACACCATGTGAGCTGCATTGCCAGGGCTTAAAAGAATTTATCTGATTAAGGTTATCAGCCAGATACTTGTAATTGTGATCTTATTGCCTATTTGGATGAGAAGGGGAGAGTATTTTAACCAAAGCTATGGTACAGAAGCTTTATAGCAATAGCAATAGCAATAGCAGTTA